GTTTTGCAACAACATAAGCTTATAAAAAGAAATCACACCAGAAAACGAGAGGAGGGGTTTTGGACTAACCATCTTGCCGTCGTCGATGAGGATGGGATCGCAGAGGTGGAAGAAGATATCCCGCTTGGAGGAAAAGGAGGAGAACTCGACGGGATGGACAGCGCGAGAGACAAGCGACTGCCAATCGGAGGGCAGGAAGCAGTCCCAGACGGTGTCAGAGGTGGCGGCGGCACGGAAGGTGGTCGAGACGGCGGATAAGCGGCACGCCACCCGGGGCGAGGTAAGGGAAATGACGTGAGCGACGCAGAGCTCCGGAAGCTTCTCCGTTCTCCACTCTCCCTTCTCCATATCGCGCTCGATCCGACGACCGTTCCTTTCTCTCCCTCCCTCTTTCTGTGAAAAGGGCAAACGAAAGAATGGAAGTTTTTGTGTTTGATGAATGAGCGGCTTTGATATCTATAAACGCCACACGAGGGGAGGTACATGGTACGGGCCCCACCGTGTGGTTCGGAGAAAGCGAGCTTAGCCTCGTAATCCGAGGCAAGAGAAAATTCCACGTGGCTAAGAAACAAATACGACTCAAAGAAAAGAAACCCAGCTGATCTAAACCGTCGACCTCATGATTAGTGTGATCGGGGATCATTTGATCCGAAAAGACTTCCAAAGACGACTTCGCCATGGCTTTGTGCTCGCGGCGCTTTCCCTGTTCTGATGACTCACCATTAGCACTGCCACGTTACGAAGCGTATGGTTTTTTGACCTTTCGGCTCTCTTCTCCCCTCGCCTCGGCACAGTGCTGCTCTCTCCTCGGTGAAGTCCGACGCCGGATCGAACTACCACCAGGTGTCGGAGCTTTCTTTTACGGACTGTGCCTGTTCTCCACGAAGACACCAATGCAAAGCTACAGAAGGGCTAATCATATATATTTTCCGCTGTAGTTTTCTCCTTATGTATATTTTCGAGGCCCTGCTGCTCTGCTGAGCTACCCTCTCCTTCACCTCCTGCTGCACCAGCAACGCCAAAAGAAGAAGGCATCCGGGTCCCGTTCGACGCCACATTACCGGAAGATTCCTTGGTTGGCTCCAGGGAAGAAGCATATGCGGCGGACGACGAACTCGAATCGGACTGTGACTTGTCATTTGGGCCTTCTCCTCCGATCAGGCAATCATTCTCGGGACCAGCGGAACCTCCTACCGTAGCATGGCTCGAGTAGGACGGAAGCGAAAAGCTTGCTGCATTGGGCATAAGAAACACCATGTCTTCTTCCACCGGCGGAGGCTGTTGGGTGGACCGTGCGAGCCACACCTCGCCATCAACTTCAACTAATCCTGAGACTCCGCCGCCGGTCATGGTCGTCTTGGCTCGGTCGTCGTCGCACGAACCCCTCTCGTGGAATCTCTTCAACCTCCTCCACTAATCCCACGGTCTACCGTGGCCTTGCCAGCGCCAGCTAGCCCAAGCAGCAGGATGGACTTACTTGTATGTGACGTCAGTTAGTGAAGCCCAACCGTCGGCGAGCCCATTGGGGAAGGTTCGGAATAATCATTCCTTCCGTTAATTACATCTTCTGCACGTGACATCACGTGGCTTGATTAAGGAAAACCTAGTAATGATTTATTTTATTTCTTGACTATTTTTCTCACTTTTCCTAATATAAGAATTATATATTAAAATTGTGCTTCTTTTTTCCTTAATTAAGGAAAACCTAGTAATGATTTATTTTATTTCTTGAAGCAAAAAAATAGATTAGGAAGGAAATTAATTAATTGTATTCTTTAGGAGAGTCTCTGTCTTTTAGGGTAGCTCATCTGGTTTGAGAAAGTAAAGAATAAGGAGGAGGGTAGAAGAGGTAGGGATCCTTCCTAGGTTTTCTTTTCATATTTTTTAAAATTCTTGTAAGATCCGCTATTCATCCTTTTGTTAGTCGTTTTGGAATTCGATTGAGAAAATAAATGATTAAAGGGTCAGACCTCAATAATCATGCCCAAGTTATATTTTATAGTCTATCCACTTTTCGTCTCTATTAACAAAAGAGAATATTCTATTCAACAAAAAATATTTTTTAAATATTTTCTATTTGATGGATACTAATATGACAGATAATGGTTGGAGATTTTTGTCTCCTTCAAACTCTCCTTCGTTGGCTTGACACATTGATTGTTGGAGCTTTGGTTGGTTGTGGATGAGTTTGTCTCTATCAAGAAGATTGGTGAACCATTGGATAAGTTTCCAAGTTTCCAATGCTTAGCACAAGAAATACACATTGGGTAATCTTTGTTGTTTAGCTTGAGGAGAGCGCATCAAGCGATCTACGATACTTAGCCTAAGGATGTCACATTGAGTAGTCTTTGATGCTTAATCTAAGAAGGGCATATCATGCAGCCTTCGATATTTAACCCGAGGGTGGTGCATTAAACAAATCTAACTTCGAGGCTTTCACTCGTAGTCAAGACTCATGCCAATCAACATCGCAATGAGTGAGAGAGTTGTTGAGTCAATGAGGGAGTTGACAAGATGTCTAGCAAGAGGTGCGTTATTGGAAGTGAGGGCGGATAGGAAACCTAAGAAAAAAAAAAGATAAGAGATAGTTGATGGGATGTCCGACAATCAAAGTAGTGCATGAAGCTATAAGTGGCCTTTCAACAATAAAGGGACTCATTCGGCCTACTAAGCTCTCTCGAGTCTTCAATCTTCCAAACCCTATATCCTAATTTCTCATCTCTTGGACCTCTGAAGTGACCTTCTTTTTCTTCATCTCGGATTAGGAAGATGTCTTCTTCTAATTCAACCGAGTCCTGAACCCTCAACCAACAGATGATTAAGGGGCTCAAAGTCTTTGTCCTTGAATAGTCTGAAATCAAGAGGGGCTTTATCATTCTCTTCCACCGGTGATTAACAGTGGTGTATCCCAAAGTCATCATCAACCTTCAAATTATGTAGGATTTTATAACCAGGATTCTACCTTGACCTCAGAGTACTTAAAGCACTTTCATCAGGATCCCAACTCATGATACTATCTCATAACCTTCAACAACTCACTAACACTCCCCTTTTCCTAACTACCAAAGAAAAGATTCAAGTGTTATGATTGGCCAGTATACGCACAGTACAGTTTACTCGATAAGTGAGTTAAATGGTATCGATGTGTAACATGCTTGGTTACATATTACAAGCAATACCATGAATAAGAATTCCTAACCTAATGTCCATGGTATGCTGGTTGTCTTCAACCGAATCTCGAATCCATCGCCTAGCAGTCTCATTGTATTATCTGCAACGTTCCAAATAGAAAAACAGCTCCGGATATCAGTTCTTCAGAAGAGACTTGAATTTAAAGGACTGATATATATATATATATATATATATATATAGAGAGAGAGAGAGAGAGAGAGAGAGAGGTCGTACTTGAGTAAAACACCAAATGATTACAGAGGTCGAGTTTGAGCAAACCTACTGCCGAATGCATGTTGAATTTTAGCTGGATCAAATGTCTTCAGAAAAAATTCAGTGACTTGGATTTCATGTTCAAACAAGTCAAGTCCACAACTCTACAAAATGAAACCTGCATCCAGATTTAACACCGGTAAACCATCATGATCCAGGATTCTTGCATGTTAGCAAAAGTCACATATCTCTCTGCTTTGTATCGATCCCTGTATTTCTTATAGCTGGAAAAAGCACCTCAACACTTTGGATACAAAATAAGTAACTGATAAAATAAGATGCCAAGAAGTTAGTATATCTCATCTTATGAAGATATGCTAATTTAGACAATATTTATATAAATTTAGAGGGAGCTACGAGAGAGAGATTTTCTCCATTCTTATCTTACGAAGATCAATTAGTTACTCTAAATTTATCATGATCCCAATCTTCTATCATCCCCTTGTAAGATTGAACTCCTATCTAGGATGCCAATCTTGGATCGATATAACGAAAATATTTTACGGGCAAGAGGCTTTGTGAGAGAGTCTACTAGGTGAGAAACACGTAGTTGATATCTGACAACTTGGTCTTTGATGAAGTGGAAGTCGATAACAATGTGTTCAATGCGTGAGTGAAATACTGGATTGACAGGTGACACCGACATTATCACAATATATTGTATGAGTAAATGTGAAGTTCACATCAAGTTCCTATAGCATATTGGTGACTTAGTTGAGTTCTACAATAGTGGTAGCTATGACTCAATATTTAACTTCAGTTGTGGACCTTATGATTGTCTTCTATATCTTAGAATTCTAACTGATTGGATTTGCTCCAAGGAAGATAATATAACCTGACGTAGATGTTCTATCATCAACGTTTCATATCCAATCAGTATCGATAAAGGCATAAAAATAAAGTAAGAGTATATACAAAGAATAAGTCCATGATTGAGAGTCCCTTTGAGATATCGCAGGACTCGTTTTACTGTAGACCAATGTGTAGTGGAGGGTCGATGCATAAATTGTGATAATTTGTTGACTGCAAATGAAATGTTTGGATGCGAGTAAAGTACTTATCAGTATTTTGTAGGATTCATAGTAGGGTTGTCATCATATAATTTGAGTGATTCAGTAGTAGAGAGTGGAGTGGCAACCTATTTGGCATTCTGCATATTTGTCTTAGATAGTAGATCTTGAATATACTTCCTTTGATATATAAAGAGTCGTGAAGATGTGTATATTTCTTCCACTATCAGAAAGTAGCTTAAGATTCTTAGATCCTTGATGGAGAATCGATCTGTCAACTGCTTGAGGAATTCCTTGATCTCTATAGGATTATTTCTTATAACGATGATGTCATCCACATATACCAACAGATATATTGTACTTCCATTTTGTTGTCATAAAAATAAGGAGATGTTAGACTTAGAGTTGATGAAGCCACTTGATGCCAAAAACAAGTTCAGTGTACCAAGCTTTGGAGCTTGATGAAGTCTATAAATAATTTTTTATAGTTTACAAACATACATTGGATATTGAAGATGGATAAAGCTAGGAGGTTGCTACATAAAAACATCTGAGGGTATCTTATAAGAAAGTATTATTAACATCCAATTGTCGTATGTGTTAGTCTTTTATAATAGTCAAACTCAAGAAAAGTCAGATTGTTGTTGGTTTAACAACTAGACTAAATATCTCTATGAAGTGAACACATGATCGTTAATGAAACCCTTTGGCCACTAAGCATGCTTTATATATGACAACTGATCCATCGGGTTCCACTAACCTATTTACCTGCTGTTCCTTTATTTATGCAGAAGCTTCCTGCCATGAAATAAATGAAATCACAAATAGCTTGCTGACCTCTCAAATTGCTTGAAAGCTAATCAAGTGATACACAACTTGTCACCTAAAATCTATTCCCTCTGCGGTAAAGAAGTCCTGCACATAAATAAAAGATCAAAGTTCAAGTAATATGGGATTCAAAGTTTTTCTTTTTCTTTTTCTTTTGACAAAAGGGAAGGGAGGTCAGGATTGAGTAGGCACAAAGGAAAAGGGATTGAGAGAGTGAGCTTGACTAGACCTTAGAGGTCGAGAGAAAGATGGGCGCTCTGTAGCTGCAAGAGAAGGAAGTCGAAATGAAATTATTTAGCAATCAGATTAAAGCTAGGTGTCTAAAGAATGAAACTCACATATCGTGGTGGTCTTGGTACCCCCTTCAACGAGTTCATCCCAAGAGACGACGTTTCTGTGAGGCATTGCATCGAACACCTTACGGGGCGTATCCACCTCGCGCATTTGGAGTAGGCGTCGATGATTGGCCGAGGAGAGGAGGCTAGCGTGATCCTCGACCGTTGTCACCATATCTCCCTGCTTCGCGTGTCACTTCATGGATCTGCGATTTGGGACGGGACGCAAATCACCTCTCATTTGTTCTATTGATTGTCTCAAGCACGCACTGCTTGGGCTTCTTCTTCTGCGACATGACACGATCATAGATCTCCATTGCTTTTGTCCCCAGCCAAGCCCACCATGGAAACGCAGCTGTAGATGAAGAACATGGCATTATCATTGGGAAAAGAACGCATTGCAGGATACGCTGTCCAAAGTGGTGAAGGCATCAACTCTCCGACAAGTGCCAATCGATGAACTTTCTTGGGAACCTTTTTCTGACACCCATGTCCCCAGTTCCATCCATGTTTGGCGACGCTTTTTTGCCTGACAAAACATGCACCATTTGCCACTTGTGTAATTTCTATATGTTTGACCGCTAATAATTGTTTTTTTTTTTGGACGAATCCTCCGAAAAAAACATTTTTTTAGACTTTTTCAGAAGCAATACTCAAATTTCTAAAGAGCCTGTTATTTAGAACCCTTTTTACTATTAATAACTTCTTTACTATTTATAATCTCTTAAAAAATTAATAAAATAATATTTTATTATTTATTGTTCCTCTAATTTTGATTTTTTTTTCTTTTTTCTTTCCTACATCCTTTACGATCATCGCTTACGAACCTTGCTATCGTGGATGCTCCTTGTTATGTCCTTGGTGCCATTGACCAAAGAATCAACACGGTCTGATTTTGTCCTAAAAGTGCGAACTCGTATAGAAGCCGAAGCGAACTGCGTGGGTGCAATTTGAGCATGAGGCTAGAATGAAAAGTGGACTCTTGAGGCTTTGTTGGCTCATGGTGACCGACTCGTGATCCTTCCCAAGTGCGGATCGTTTACTGAAGGAAGTTTAGAGACATCCCGAGGTGCGTCTTGGTCTTGTTTGGTGATGTTACGCATCACCACGAGGTGTAACTTGTCTGTTGGAGGAAATTTGAGTTCATCCCAAGGTGCTCCTTGGCCTTCCGAAAGCGCTCAGCATCATTTTAATGTGCTTCTTAAACATGCTTGGATCCTGCACAAGCGGTCAATGTCGAGAGGATGTCCTGACCCAACCCTTCCGATACTCAAGTTAATAAAGTGGAGAGAGTTTAGTAGAGCTCAAGAGAGTTAAGATAAACTCCCCTTGCTTTCCCTGTCTATGATGTATTTTTATACTTTAAAAGAGGAAAAATAAGTTTGTGATGTCCTTTCTTATCATATAGGAAGAAAAGAGATTTTAGGATTGCTTTCCTTGTCATAAAGGGGGCGAAGAAAGTTTATGATTGTCTTCTTACTATAATAAATAAGAAGAAAGTCTATGTTTCTCTATTTTGAATATTTATATATGTTGGCAGATGACTTCGTTGACACATGGCGATTGTGTGTCAACTGTTAATACATTCCTTATTTATACAAGTTGTCAACAGGCGAGAAGAAAAGAGGATGTCGTATTGGGGCTCTGCCATGGTGGGTATTGGCTAGACCGTCATAGCGGGAATATTGATCTGTCATGGCGATTTGCCATTGCAAGTCTTGGCTCGACTATAGTAGTTGGAGTATTGATCCACCATGGCGACTTCCGTCGTAGTGGGTCTTGGCTCGACCACCATAGCGAGAGTATTGATCTGCTGTAGTAGGTCTTGGCTCGATCGCCAAGTGGGAGTATTGATCCACAGTAGCAGGTCTTGGCTCAACCACTATTATGGGAGTTTTGATCCACCATGGCAATTTCCACCATAGTGGGTCTTAATTTGATCATCATAGTGGGAGTATTGATCCATCGTGGCAACTTTCGTCGTAGTGATTCTTGGCTCAATCACCATAATGTGAGTATTGATTCGTCGTAGTAGCTTCCATCATAACGGATCTTTTTTTAGGGCAGATCCGATCATTAAGGAGGACCTTAATCAATTGCTTTATCAGCTCGGGATGGGGGGCGGTGGGCCTTACCAAGGTCTCGAGGTCGATGAGTGGGACCTCCAACTTCATCTTTTGTTGTGGTGTGCTGAGTCATTTTTGTTTTAAAGCACTTTAGTTGACTATTGATTGCAACGGGCCCGCCTAAGGATTTTGATCATCCTTGAGCCGCTTTTAGGCCTATAGGGCTTCGATTTGTTGAGGTTTATGGCCCAAATCTTGTTGTGGTTATTTCAGGGATACCGCATGGGGATTTTGTATCGTTTTAGGCAGATATGCGCTGTGTTGTTTAGCAGGAGATGAGGGGTCATCTTGTGCCCCTTTAGCTACTAAGAGGGGCTTTATTTAGCGCCCCGATCTCGTTGCTCCCATGTGCCTATTTGGACTTTGTTGATTGTTGTCTTTATGCCACTCGGGCTTTTCCTTACAAGTATGGATCCCAGTGATCACGATCTTCTGGTACCCCCCCTCGAGCTTTTGAGTTCATGGGAGATCGAGTGAGGGTCTCAAGTCGGGCTGGAGCAATTTACAAAGTTACAAGCTCTAACACCTTCGGTCGGGGGTGGTGACTAGTCCTATCGGGGTCGTGGGTACTCGGTATGGGCATAGAAGAGGCGTAAGTGTGTTGTGAAGACTATTCCTTCATTACAAGTGTCCCACTTGGAGACGGGGAGCCATGAGGGTTATTCTCCCCCCTCAAGGTTTCTCCTGGTGGGCCTTAGTCCTTGGCGCGAGGTGGGGGATGCATCGTTGAGAGGCCATCTTGTCAAGATATGTGTGCCAGCCTATCACGCTAGCCGAGGTCTCTTAGGCCCTAATCTCTTAACATGCTATGTTCTTGTCATCTAAGGTCGTTCATGGCCTTTGAGATAGCCAATCGACCCCTTATGGCCCTGGAGGTCCCTCTTATGGCCCACTGGGAGGGGCTAACTCAAGAAATGAGAGTGTGAGAGAGCTCCTCGGCTATGGGGGAGTATTGCTAGGGGTCGCTCAATCCTGCTCTGAGCAGAATGGTGTATTGTACTCCAATGGAGTCTTTGGTTGACCAATGTCTTCGAAATGATATTCGGGTAGGTTACTACACTTGGGTCCCTTTTCTATGACTCTCCAATATTAACCCGTCTGTTTTGAGTAACATCACCATTACCTGACGGGCCTTGCTGATCAGACCCGTGATGTCGAGATGTTGGTGGACGAGTTGTCCTAGGCAAACGAAGGTCTCCAGCTTAGGATTGTCGAGCTGGAGAAGAGGTCCCCCTCGGCGACTGAGGATGTCTAGTTGCTAAGATGATTGGTCTGTTGGGGTAGGCTCGATAGCAACTAGAAGACATTGAGTAGTGTTTGGTTGTCCCGCGATGGAGGTTAAAGGACACCCAGGGGAAGGGGGGCCAGTTGGAGGACAATTTGCAGTTGTGTTATGATGAGTTGATGGCCACTAGGATGGAGGCCCAAGAGGCTAAAGAGCTATTGGAGGAGGAGTGACGTTGAGCTCACGATTTGGAGAGAGGGGCGATCATAACATATAAGGAGTCGGAGGGGTTCCGATGGGGCCTATTGAGATCGAGAAGGGTTTTGCATCGATATGTGTACATCATTGCTTTGGGTGCTTTAAGGCCAAGTCCCCAAGAATAAGTGTTGAGAAGGACCCCTTCGCTCTGCGGCCTGAAGATCTTGACATCCCAGAAGCATAGGCCCCTTTCGATGACAACCCCGACTCATCCTATTCTTCTAATTAAATGCTTCAACCTTTTTATTTTCTTTTTTAAGGGTTCTAGTCTGGGCCTTCCGAACACGAGCCCTCAATTGTAGGCACCACACTGGTGCAAGCCTCCCTCATTTAATGAAATTTTCTTTCTCCATGTGTCATTCTATCATGGGTTTTCGATCAAGGTGGTGCTTTAAGGATTGAATCTTTTTTGTTGATCTGTTATGCCCAAGGTAGAGCCTTGCTTTCCATGGCCTTAAGGCGATAAGTTCCTTCTCGAGTGTAACTTCATCAAAGAGTTCTTAGAGAGTTGGAAGAGCAACCTCGGGTGGAAGGATCTGCCCGAGCTAACTTTGGTGTTAGCTTGGTGCTTAGCCTTGGTACCTCGGGGGTATCTCCTTCGGGGTAATTTCGTGATCGAGCCCTGAGGTGGCCCTTGGCACGATCTTTCGTGGAACTCATCGTGCCAACCCGAGATCATGGTCTCAGCAACCATATACTAGTTGGACATTTGTAGTATATGATTACGAGTGATCTTTCTATCAGCAAATAGAAGAAACGGGTGAGCCTCATGATAGCTTGGGTCTTTAATGAGGGGTACGTGTCTAGGACACCTTCGATTTCGTTGGTGAACTTATCACTAAAGCAAGAGAGGGGCTCTTCTTGGATACTTTGAGCAAATGGGGAGTGGCCTAAGGCCAAGCCATCAGCCTTCCCCTTTGAGTGTTGGTAGTCTCGTTGGACCTCGTCCAAGCATTGGTTGACCTGACAAAGTTAAGCCCTAAGTGAGTCCTTAACTGAGTCAGCGGATCGGGTATATGATTCAAGTTGAACGGAGTCCATCGAAGTTTCCCTCAATGGTGCAAGGGTGAGGGAAAGTTGAACTGGTGGTTGTGGAGGGGCTAATTGCTAAGCCAGTCATAGCAAAAGAGGGGCGATGGCCTACATCATTTCGACCAATGTTTGTACTTGGTGAGTGAGGCGGAGAAATGCATCTACGGGAATGAGCAAGGGCCCCGCACTTGAACCCAGAGGAGAGAGACCAAGATCGTTGAACTGACATTGGTAGCACTCGATGTCTGTGCTGAAGCGGAGGCGCCCACCTATGAAAAGGGAGGTGGTTGTCCTTCCTGCCCAAAGGCGTTAAGTGCAAGGGGTGGTATTTCCTCGTTGGAACGTTCATTATGTGGATCCATGGGTGGGTGCTATTGCAACATTCAATCTCTCCTTCTAGTGCCAAAATATTATGTCCTAGGTGTCGTTGACCAAAAAGTCAACACAACCTAGTTCTGTCTCAAAAGCATGAACCCATCTAGAAGCCTAAGCAGATCGCGTGGGTGCGATTTGAGCATGAGGTTAGGGTGACAGGTGGACTCCTAAGGCTTTGCTGACTCATGGTAACCAACCTATGGTCCTTCCAAAGTGCAAATCATTTACTGAAGGAAGTTCAAAGTTATCTCGAGGTGCACCTTGGTCTTGTCTGGTAGTGCTCCGCATCACCCGAGGTGCAACTTCTTTACTAGAGTAAGTTTAGGGTCATCCCGAGGTATGCCTTGGCCTTCCGGATGTGCTCAACATCATTCTAAGGTGCTCTTTATACGTGCCTAAGTCTTGCACAAGCGATAGGTGTCGAGGGGATGTCCCGACCCGACCCCTTCAATGCTCAAGTCAATAAAGTAAAGAGGGTTAGTAGAGCTCAAGAGAATTGAGAAGAGTCCCCTCACTTTCCCTATTTATGATGTGTTTTTATACCTTGAATGAGGGAAAGGAAGTTTATTATATCCTTCCTTGTCATAAAAAAAAAAAAGAGTTTATGATTACTTTCCTTGTCATAAATGGGGAGAAGAAAGTTTGTGATTACCTTGCTGAATGAGAAGGAAGTTTGTGTTTCTCTATTTTTAATTTTGTACACGTTGACGGATGACTTGGATAACACATGCAACTACGTGTCAACTATTAGTACATTCTCTATCACTCCCCAACTTTCTTTATCGTTGTTGATCATTACCCAGATCATGTTTCTCTAATTTTGTTCGTCATCCCCTCAATAAAAGAATATTCATACCCATTAATGAAAGAATAATTTTAAAATATTAAAAAATTTAATATGATTGTAAATAGTAAGAAAAAGATTATAAATAATAATCATTTTTCAGATAAAATTTTTCTCAAACACAAAATATTTTCAACCATCTATTGATTTTCTCTCTTTTTCTTTTTTTAGGGATCGATTTATTATGTTACAGTATTTTTTTACTATGCTATAATATTTACTAATAATATAATATAAAAATATTATATTATAATATTTTTATACTATAATAATATTTTTTGATATTATTGAAAACACTGATTCACCATATAAATAGGTTCATAGGAAAAGAAAAGAAAAAAATTTCAGATATTAGATTTAAAAATATTAAAAGGGATATTTAAAAAAAATATTTTTTTCTAAAAATTTATCCTATTCTTTTTTTTAATGAAGAGATAAATCCAATGAAAAATTTGGTGCATTAACAAGTTCCTCTTGCAAGAATAAACAAAATGAGGGTTAGTTATAAATTATCCCTTATAGTTAGACCAACTTAATATTTAGATTCCTAAACTTAAAAAATTTATATTGGAATATTTATAGTTATGAAAGTGAAACATTTGACTCTATTATAATAACGTAGTCAGTTTTATCGATGGAATATATCGTGTGCAAAAATCATACAAAAACAATGGATAAAAATATAATTTCAATAACTAAGTTATGTTTTCAATAATGACAAACGATAGCACCATCAAGGGGGCGCAGGTGGTTGTGATGGATGAGGAGGAAAAGCGATAGTGAGATGTGAGGCAATGGGAGACAAACAAGATGATGAAGATGCTGACACCTTGTATCTATATTGGTCGGTGCTAACGCAAATGTAGAGTAGCGAAAAGGCCACTCAACATCTGCATTGATGCTGACTCTACATATGTGTCGACATCGATAATGATGGGGAAGGGCGATGCCACTCTATATTTGCATCGATGCTACCCTACATTTGTGTCGACGTCGACAACAATATGGGGAAGGGTGGTGCTCATCATTCTTCCCCCTTTCGCTGCTCGACAAGCGCAAGGGGGAAAGAAAGATGAGCGATGTTCGACATCCTCGCATTGTTCTGTATCGCTGCTCGGCAAGCGCAAGGGTGGTGCTCATCCTTCTTCCCCCCTTGTGCATACCAAGGACAAAAGGGAGAAGAAGAATAAGCACCACCCTTCCCTGCAATATTGTTATCGCTACATCGATGCCGACGCAATTGTTGAGCAACGCCAATATAGATATAAAATGTCAACATCTACGTCATCCTCCCTCTCGTCGTCGCTCTCTCTCCTCATCCTCCTCCCCCCGTAAGAAACCACAAAATTCCCCAACATTTTAATCGATCATGACATTCATCGATCAATAAAATTAAATATTTTAAGATAAATTCCCCAACGTTTTAAGATAAATAAAATTAAATATTTTATTTTTAATAATAATAAAAAATTAATATGAATTTTTTAAATTTAAAAATCAGAATAATAACAAAGTGTAACTCCAAGAGTAAACTACAATTAGCCTAGCAAAAGGGCAAGAGAGAATATTCCAGTGGGTCCCTTCCCTCACTAGTACTTGAACAAGCACTAATGACAGTAATGGCGTGGAACAGCGAGTTTGCCAGCCCTTGACATGTTGAAAGGTAGGTGGAACAGCCAGGAGGGAGTGACAGCGTCCAAATAATACCCCTCAGATGACATAGCACAAAAGCAAGATTCATTAACGTCAACTGATATAAAATATAAACCCCTCCATCAACATCTACATTCATGCGTATGTACGAACGTCAACAACCTACGCAACAACGGAAAAAAGAAACAGAAGAAAGAGCACGAAATCATAGACACCAACCAACCCAAACGAAGAGAAGGGAACGAGACCAAGTTGTTGTTTTGGCTAAGAGATCTGCGACGGTTTCGCGGCTTTAACGGCAGCACCGACAGGGTTGTACGCAGCAACGCTCGAAACCGTCTGATATGTGGGCACCATACTCGCATAGTAAACCACCCGCCCCGTGCTATCGTACGCCAACTGCCCCCCTCCGGCCGCGTACGCCTCCGCCCCGCCACCGCGGCCCATCGCCTTCGCCGACACCGCCGCGCTGCGGTAGGCCTCCGCCGTCGCCATCCACGGCGCTGCGGCGTAGAACCCTGGGTAGACCCCCTGTGACGTCGGGAGAAGGTACACCGCCTGATCGTGGCCGGGGGCCAACGACGCGTACCTCGCTACCGGTAACCCGCTCCGCTGCTCCGGCGCCTGCGCTGCCGCGGGTGCGACCTTCTCCGCATCTCGTGGGACTTGGTACTCCGTGGCGTGATCTCTGCGTACGGCCTCCTCGCTGCTGTTTTGCGGGATGAGCGGCGGCGGGTTCTCGGCGACTTGGAGGCTATGGAGCTCCTGGATCGGTCCTTGGACCTCCGCCACGGAGACCACGACAGGGGCCGTGACGGTTGAATCGGCAGGTTCCGGAATCTGCTGGTGGGGTTCGACCTTGGCCAGATCGGGCTTCGCCGGCGCCTCGATAGAGAGGGTCTCGAGCGTCAAAGGTGGCTGCGGATCTACGGCGACCTTCACGGCCGGTGGAGGAACGAAGCCCTCGTCGAGGCCGAATAAGTAGTCGGGGCTCGGCGAGGCCGCCACCGCCGAAGGTTGCGTAGCCGGAGTCGCAGGGGCGGAGACCGCGTTGAGGGCGTCGAAGAACCACTGGCGATCCGGGCGGGCGGCGTCGAGGAGAGCGGCGGAAGGGGGCGGGGGCGGAGGCCTGACGGTGAAGAGGAAGAGGCGGAGGCGGTGAGTGGGCTTGGGAGAGGAGGAGCTTCCGTGGAGGCGATCGTACTCGACCATCATGTGTTCGAGGTCGTCCTCGTCGGTGACGGAGACCAGGGCGTCGAGATCCTCGCCTGGAAGCTGGTACTTGAGGCAAAAAGGCGCGCAGGGGACGAGGGTGGCGAGCTTGGCGAGGAGGGTAGGCAGGCGGGCGGAGCGGTCGAGGGAGAGGATCTTGGTCTCCCCGCCGACGTAGGAGAGCCTGGCGCTGTCGTGGGGTCGCGGCTGGATGCGGCCACCATAGCTGACCATGAGCTTAACGCGGCCGCCGGCTCCCGGCGACGTGGCCGCCTGCGGCGATGGATTGTCGTCCGAGGCGGGGGCGACGCCGTTTTCGCGGTCGACGGGGAGCGAAAGAGAGGAGGTATCCACGACGGAAGAGTCCATTCTACTAGACCCTACCGCGAGCGGTGGTGAGATCAGTGTGAATGACTCGATGGGAGAGGCGAAGCGGCGGAGTATATAACCAGCATCGACGGCATAGAGAAGACGCGTGTCTCGGGATACGAATACGACAGTTGCGCTGTGGGGATCGGCTCGGTTCGGACTTTTAACTAGGACCGCTTTCCTTCGCAAGATGGGGTTCTCTGCAGGGGGAGGGGGTGTCGCGCATGACCACGTTAATGGAATGGGGCATCCCATGCGCGCCTCACTTGATTGGTCTACCGCGGCTAAAGGGGACTGCAGGTGGGGTGCGCAAGCGAGACCATGAATGTTGTCCATGCGGGACAATTGCGACAGCGTGTAACCCCACCACGGCAGTTGACTCACGGTCTGCCGGGGGTTTGACCGTATTGCAATCTTAAGACTCTGCAGCACGTAATAGTATAAATATACCGCTGGCGGTCACAGCTATCGCCCTTATTACTTACTGTCGATGAAAGGGAACATTGAACAACAAGTACCTATACAGCTGGCACATAACATGCACTCTCCTACTGCGCTTCTCGGAGTAATAATTACGCTGTTGTTACCGATCCATGCATGTGCCGACTGAGTGCTGACTGCCTTCACCACCGCAGAGAGGGTTTTGTCCTATCTTTTAATTTAGTGCCGGAGCGAAGCATGTTATATGACAGAACGGAACGGAACGGACGCAACGGAAGCTAATGGTTTTGTCCTTCGTGGTTGCCGAGGCGGAGAAGACGACGAAAAAGGGGCGACTGACTGCCTCGGTCACCGTGACATTATGTATGATGTACACGCCGATAACCACATCCCTCTGTTTGCTATTTGGCCAGAATAATTCTGTCCTGTTTTGGCAAGTACAGAGCGTCCACCTGACAGTTCTGTGATTAATTTGTTTTGTTGGAGAAGAATGCAGATAATTAAGGTAACTTAAAGACATCGGACGTATAATACTGTCGACTCCTCCGATTGGAGGCTCAGAGTTGACCGGAGAACATCGACGTTTTGATCAACTGGACGTCGCAGCGCACACCATTTGGACGGCATGCGATGGACGTGGCCATCAGATGGCATGCCTATAGTGTCTTCACTTCACGTGAACACGACGCCTTCGATGTCTCCGTGTGTGTATCTATATATATATATTTATTTATTTATTTATTTATTATATTTATATCTGGGGTGGGTCCGCCTAGAAGATAGGCCTAGCTGTCAACGAGGCAACAGAATGGTGTCGTGATGTGTGTAAGGTGTATGGGATCCACTTATATAGTAACAGGGTGGTATTCTTCATGCTGCAATCCAACAGCTTTCTTTTTCTCTCACTCTCTCTCAACATTGCAGCCAACTGTAAAGGACGCGGATGAGCTGGTAAGCAATGGCATTCCAAAAAGCCACAATGAGATCATCAACTACAGGTAAGGAACATGCTTCATTTAGATGGATCCCATTTAGAGGCAATGCAATGGGGCATTTGCCTTTGTATTACTGATGAATATACTTCACATGGAATGCGGATAACAATAATGGGTAAACATATGGTCTATTGGAGAATCCCACACAGTGTTGCTTCAATGGGCCATATGCGTCAGCAGCTTGACGCAGTAAACCCGCCTTAACACTCGTCTCCATTTGGGTAATGGTATGGTGGAAAATATGCGGTGCCTCTTTTCATTGCAGTGACCCGGTCAGTGTAATCCATCAGGCCTTTGTATTCTTCCAAGTCCAACCCAAAACGAATCGAAACGAAGGCCCGAACACTTACTATGCCGACCATCGTGCCGCGTACCCAATCACCAACCATCCATCAGGCCTGCCTCGAGAGCTTTCCAAAGTTTGACCCAACTCCCGCCGGCTGAAACCGACGAGAGTGCTTTGAGTTCCGCGTAAAGGACAAAGAATTTAATTTACTAATTGATTTATTAATTTAATAGACCTAAAAACTATATGACTCGAGATATTTAAGTCCGATCTAATTATAGTATATCAATCAAAAGGTGAATTATCAGAAAAAACCTCTCTATTTAATTTTTTTTTTTTGGAGGAAGTGTCACCCAATTCTAAAATTTCTTAATTGCATCTCATTTTTTTTACTAATATCTATAATACACTTTCTCATTCATTTTCTTATGGACCAATCCAATTATAATATTGTCAATAATACTAAAAAAATACTATAATATAATGTAAAAAATATCATAACTTCATCTGTTCACCCTATGCCCCCATCTATAAAAATAAAATAAAAGAAAAATATGTTTGACGGTATTGGACCAAAAAAAGATATTTAAAAAAAAATAATTACATATTATCCTTTTGTCATTAACTACGATTAGCATCTCGATCTCTATACTTTAAAAAATAATATTGAGATCTTTATAATTATAAAAATAAAACATTTAACTCCAATTATCCTCATGTCATTAATTTCGTCGATTGAAAAAATTAGAAAGGATAAAAAAAATAATTTAATTATATTTTAAATTATTAATTTCATATAAACTTCTCATTCACAATGTGGAACCTTTAACAGAAACTGCTCTCCTCCCCCCCCCCCCAGCTACCTCCCCTCTGACTACGCTGCAAATGGCAGACGAACGCCAACATCCATGGCGTGCGAGATGGGTGGCGTTTTAGAGGAGATCCAGACACCGCCTTCGAATGTGACCAATTTCCTCTTCCCCTCTTGTTTCCAACTTGCTCGCCCGCCACCCCACAATAGATTCTGCTCGCCCGCTCGAGATAAACACCCATTGCACGTGGCTTTATATACAAGAACATGGTGATCCCCCGATGCTATATGAGATGTTGCTAGCTGCATTACTCACGTGTCACGGAGCTCTATCAATATGATTATTGGTCCACCCTAAGTACATCAATGATACCCAATAGGTGGTGGATGCCATGGCCTTTCTCATCAACCTCGCCAATAGTGCTACGACATCGACATCTTGCTCTAGGCCCCACTACAGACCAAGAGGGATGGGTACTGGTCGGACTCCACTTCAATGCCACTAAGTGGAGAGGCTGCCCAGAAGGAGTTCTCGCAACCAAGGACACTGTCGAACGCAAAGATTTGCAAGGAGGGCGGATGCTAATTCCGAGCGATTCAAGCAATAGTCAACACTTCGTTGGAGTATAGCACTGGTCGATATATGATCTACATAAAGGGGTGCCATTTGAGAAGACAAACCTAGTATTTATCAAGGACAAGATAGGCAAAAGGATCATTATGGGCTCCCTCAATGTCAACACGATCGGTGTCTCCACCGACAACACGACCACCATCGATGAGTACAAACTTAACTTTCCTAAGTTATCACTTATTGTTTCCTTTATATAATCAATAAGAATTCACCATGAATCCTCAATCCAATCTTGACCTGGCCATGGCCCGGGACCTAACCTTCACCAACACCATCGGGCTGGACAAGCACCAAGTCGTGACCTTCCACTCCAATAGCAACCTCACCATGCTTGAGTCGGTAGAGTTCCTCAGCCACCAAGACACCCTCTACGCCCACTCCCTCCGCTAGTTCTACAAGTCCTGTCGCATCTTCGACATTATTGACTTCATCTTCGACAACTTCGCCATCGTCTTTCATGACTGCCTCATCTTTATCCTCCCCCACCAGCTCAACTGCAAGCACAACAAGTCCAACACTGTCATTGTGCATGATCGCACCGACTCTGCCTAGTCCATCGGCTTTGTGTTTGACCACTACACCATCAACAGAAGCGATGAGTACCTCCCACTCTACCACTCGAAGCATGTGGTCCACCACATGTACCTCGAGACGCCATGGAAGGAGTACTCGAGGACGATGTTCATCGATAGCAACTTAGCGGAGATCATAAGGCTAAAGGGCTAGTTGCCATAAACCAATGATTTCGTGGTGGTGCAAAAGAGGAGGGTAGGAGGAAATCAATTATTGTCAGAGGCGACGCTCGAATCTCCTCTAGAATGCCATCCATCTCGCATGCCACCGACGCTGCTACTAGTTTATCATTCGCAACGTAGCTAGAGAGAACCAGAGGAGAGGAAAGTGGTTTTTATTAAAGCTTTCACGTGAGTGAGAAGTTTATATGAAATTATATAAAATTAATAATTTAAAATATAGTAAAATTATTTTTTATCCTTTTTATTCATGTTTTTTTTTTCATGTGACAATATTCCTTTCGTAAGTATAAGGATCCCAATACTACTTTTTAAAGTTTAATGATCAAGATATTAATCATAATTAACTATAAGTGATAATATATAATTATTCTATTAAAAATTTATAAAAATAAAAGATATTTCATGAAAAAAAATTTTAAAATATGAGTTTTTTTTTCCAGAATTTGCCCTACATCAAATCCCTATAACCAAATTCAATTAATGCTAGTAACTATACCATTGTTACCTGTATCTATTTATATACGCTGTTGTATATATCGGTAAAGTGGAGAAAGGGATAGTCGTGCATTCTTTTGTTATTATGGAGTACTGATCAGTATGGACTCCTAATCAACTGAAAAGTAACCTTATCTCCGCAAGATGGATTTATCTTCGAGTATCCCTACCAAGACTAAGTGAGCATGCCTACCAAGAACTAAACAAAAGCAACCCAACATTATGGCTGGACTTGATGCTGGTACCAAATAAATTCTCAATTAACAACGTAAAGCTGCTTTTGTTATCTCGCAAGCATATGGGTTTTCTTTAAGGCATGATGAGCTTTAGAGTGCTGCAGTGTTGGCCTTTTGGCGCGTGATGCTCTCCTTGTAGACATGCACATTACAACGCAGGACAGTTGAGGAAGAGATTAATACAATAGCAAGCAACCAATCATATATTAATATGGGATGAATGCAGCCAAGCGACTTTTTCGAATAACTACTAGCCATTATGGACGATTCGCCATATCTTTAGGTAGATAATTACTCAATTAAATCAACATTTTACAAAATAAAATAAAGTGTTGGGAAAAGATGACTAGAAAAGTAATAGACACCATAATTTATTTTCTCTCCTTGTATAGATTAAACAGAATATATTGAAGCCATGTATCAAGATGAAAGAAACTATAATATTTAAGTCAATCGAGTGAGCATCACAAACTACAAGAAAAGAAAATTTATGTGGAAAGCTCTTCAATGTAAAGGGAAGGACCGTAGGCAAGCTCGTGTAGATTTTTTTTCACTAATCAGAATCAATAAAATATATACAATCATTTTTAAATCAACTAGACGATGTAAAAAATCATCAAGCAAAATTCTTGCCTCAGAAAATAATTAATGAGGTGAATTTCAACAACACGCAAAGAAGAAAAATCAAAACTCACTAATAGAGACATTAGAAAATAGCATAAGAGCAGGTTTCTCAAGAGCAACACCGGTCATTTTGTAAATCAATATGATAAGATTTATATATCAAAAAATTATGACGATCTAACTTGAATTGACCATACAATTATTCAAGATGTATTTCCCCCTTTTTTTTCCTATTTGTGTTTTCGAAATCTATAAGGGTCAAAGTCTTACCTATATTAAACCCTATTCATGGGCGGGACTACCCCAACAGGAAGCACATATCAAGCAGTACGAAGGGTTTAAGGTGGCTAAAGGATGTGAGGATGCTTAACATATAGGTACTCTAGAACAAATTGCGATATATATCAAAAAATGACCTTGGATGTTATTTACGTCATTGGGTAATGGAAATCAATTAAATGGCCACATAACATCTGAGGAAATGTGTCTCTCTCAACTTCCTTCAAGATATGGCTATTAATATATTGTACAAACGCAATCTGGTAAAGATTCTGTTAATCCCCATCAATAGTGTAATCACGTAAGCGAGTTCCGTAAGCATTGTAGTGGCCTTGATTTGCCCACTAATGGTGGAAGATGGAAGCCACCCATCCAACTTAGTAGAATTAAGTTTAACTAAAGGAAGCACTAAGCGAGCTCTCCTCTCCACTCGAAACTTGTATAAATCCGACACCGGAAGCAGTGAGTTCTCCAAGCAGCTCCAGCAGCCTATCGGTCTCTCATCGCTAGCTCTCTCCCTCTTTCTCTCTCAAAGACTATGGCCATGGGAAGGGGCAGTCGCAACGCAGCTTTGCTGCTCTCCATACTGCTCATCGCTTGCTCGCCGTTAAACTCCCTCGCAACCACCCATGTCGTGGGGGACTCACAAGGATGGGGCTTCTCCATGTCGTATGCCAATTGGGCTAATGGCAAGAGCTTTGCTCCTGGAGATACTCTCGGTCTCTCTCTCTCTCTCGACTAGCTATTTATCTATCTCTGCGTTGGGTTTCAACAGTAGTTATCTTCTCACACTTCTCTTTCTGAATCTGGCAGTGTTCAACTACCAAGCTGGTCTGCACAACGTGGTGCCAGTGAACGCAGCAGGCTACAGAAGCTGCAAGGCATCTGGAAGCGCGTCCAAAGCAGCCACAACAGGCGATGACAAGTTCACGCTCAAGAAAGGGGCCAACTACTTCATCTGCAGCATTCCAGGCCACTGTGAAGCAGGCATGAAGATCCAAGTCATCGCCAACTAAATCTGACATATCTATCTCTATATATGTGTGTCGTGTACTGTGCTAGCAAGGAGTGGTCAGAGAAGCGGTCACTCTCGCTGTTGGCTTAAATAATGATCGCAGTGTGGTCGAGAAGTTGTAATGCTTGTAGTTCTCAATATGAAGCTTGCATGCGTAAATGATCATCACCTTGTGTGTCCATGTTTTGTAGCACCAGCTGTGAAACAAAATTGGTCGGTGAACCACTATGTAATAATACCACCAAAAGGAAAAGAAGTACCACAAGAAGGGAATGAATAATTCAAACAAGAGAGACAACACGACCAAATACATCAATCTAATGCTTCCAGGTTTTGATGGATCAGCTATTAAGCATACATCAGTGTGTGAATGACTCTTCCGTGCATGCAAACCAAGACACTTAAAAAGCTAGATATGACAAAAACAAAAGGCACTCTCCAAGAAAACAGAGGAATGCCTTGAAATTATTATTTTCTAAAAAGATCTTTCACCATCAATCTTCTTACCCCTTATTTTTCTAGAATAAGAAATATCATTTTCAAGTTTGAATTAGGTCATTTGAAATATGGGCCATTATCTTCTACTTATTTTTAATATTTACTTTTTTTATTTGAAATATGGGTTTTTTTTATTTTCGTAATTAAGGCAACGCGAATCCTCTCTGCCCCTTGACTCGTCCAAACGAGGAACCGTAACTGCCACCCCTCAATCCCCCCTCGCCTTCCCGCCCTTCGCGCTCAGACGCCAAACCCAAAATTAACCCCATCAGGTCATTCCCATTGATTTCTCACCACGCCCTTGCATCTCCATCTTCTGCTCTGTTATTTCTTCTTCCACCTGCCGCCCCCCAGCGGGCTTTAAACTGGCTGAGGGGATGCGATTGCCCTCCTTTTCATCCTCCTGATCCATTTTCTCCCACCCACCTCTCCGGTGGAGCAACGATTCAAGAAAGAAAGCAGAGCAAAGGAGAAGCCATTGTTGATCGTACCTTTTTCCTTGGGAAGTGGATTGAAAGATCGGGAGATGAAGCTATTTGTCGAGGCGCGGAGATGCAGCATTCTGGCGCCGAAGCGAGCCTGACACGCCTGTCCCACTTGCTCCGCAGGGTAAGCTCTTCTCTATTGGCTTCCGCGTGAATCACAACACATTTGGGCCAGATCTCAACACCAACAATGGTTCGATGATTAGGTCAAGAGAATAGACGGAGACAGAGATAGGCTGAGCGAGCAGGGGACGGATAGAGGGCGTGGATCATCGAAATGATGGGGACAGGAACTAAGATGAAGGGTCTCCTCAAGGGCCTTCGCTACATCTCCCAGATCTTCGGTGAGTAGCTCTCTGCAACGACTCGCCTTCTCTCTTCCTCTCTCGTTCTTTTTGCTTTCACAGCGGTTTTATATGCTATTGGCCGGTCCGCCTGATGATGGTGATGACGTGTACTAGACGCCAAGGAAGAGGAGATGCAGATCGGCTACCCCACCGACGTAAAACACGTGGCGCACATTGGTTGGGACGGCCCCTCCGTCGGCTCCCCCAGCTGGGTAAGGGTAACTAACTCTGTTTCGCCATCTTTCTAACGTGGTCCCACCTTTCTCTCTTTCATCCTTCACCGTCTGGTCTTCATTTAACGGACGTCTCTGATCCGCCCGCATCAGATGAACGACTTCGGATCCGCCCAGCAGCCCGCCAATGAAGATGACGCTGCTGCCGCGGCCGGGCAACCCAAGCAGCCCACCTCAGGTTCGTTCCTCCACCACCCTCTTCCCTCCCTATTTCCGACGGACGGCATGGCTATCTCACCGTGCACCTGCAAACCCCCACCTAGGCGGCGGATCCTCCCGAGACTCGGCGCTGCCACGACCCTCGCGGCGAATGGACTCCCCGGGACGCGACGGCTCGACCTCCAACCGGCACTCGCGCCGCAACAAGTCGTCCGGCGGATCCGACAGCCCGTCGCGGGAGCCCGTCGAGGGGGGGTCCAAGCACGGGAGGAAGCACCGCAGCACCGCCGGCGTCGTGGGTGACGAGCAGCCGTCGCCCGACGTGCCTGCCGTCCCCAAGCAGCCGCACCGCCGCAAGACCAAGGGATCTTCCTCGGCCAGCGGGGTGTCGACGAGGTCGTCGTCGAAGTTGAAGGCCGCGACCGCGTCGCAGTCGGAGTCCGGAGCTGAAGACGGGAAACCCAATCCGCAATCGTCCTCCCCACCCACGGTAGGAGAAGAGGAAGAGGAAGGAAAAGAAAAGGAAGGGCTTTGACATCTTTCCATCATCCATCCGTGAAGCCTCCTGCAATCTGCATCGATATATCGCGTGTACCGAAAAGGAGAAGAGAGGAAGAAGGAAGCAAACTTGATGTACCTTCAAATTTTCCATGCAACTTTCGATTGATCGCTGGATTTAGTTTTCTTTTTTTCATAAAGTAATAAATAAAAGGATCAAAACACGAGGAATGAATGGCGTAAATAAATGACATACAACGATTCCAATTGCAATGTAAAAACACTGGTTATAGTGTTTTCAGCAATATATGAAAACACTATAACGCATTACAAAAAAATACTATAATATAATCTTGTTATACTATGTTATAATATTTTTCTTGATATTTTTGATAATATTATAATAAAAATATTATAATATTATTTTTGTACTACATTATAATGCTTTCATAGTATTATTGGTAACACTGTAGCATAGCATAAAAATACTATAACAAAATAGACATACCATATAAAAAGATTTATAAAAAAAATAGATAATCGATTGTTAAATCAAGAGTATTGAAAGGCGTTGTTTGAAAATTATGTAAATGATGGACACTTCCAAAAAATAACTCAAGAAAAGAGAATTTTCTCTTTTTCTCTCTCTCTCTCTCTCTCTCTCTCTCTATATATATATATATATATATATATATATATATATATATATATATATTTATAGTGCGATC